TAACAGCGACACTTTTTGTAATAAAAACTTAATTTTTTAAGACACCAGCTACACTGTTTGTGCTCCAGCCTTCCTAACATACATTCCCATCCAGGAGGCCCCCAAATCTTTTTTGCAGCAGCTCGTACTGCTGCTTCATAATTGGGCAACACACCTGTCACAAAAATCCCATAGTAATCACTTCCCGATTGATAGACCATGAGATTTTGCAAGCACCCACCCTTCAGCTCCCATAGCTTCACGTCACTCCTGACAGTTAATAAAATAAGTCTCTCATATGACATTTTGTACAACTGGTAATACTGAGCACTGCATTAAATATTGAACAAACTATACAGTGGGTAATAAATCACAAGCAAAGACAAAAGTGACGCCAAGACCTCTGTCGAACACAACGTTATCTCCTTTTTTTTTCATTTCCTGACGCGTTACTTCCCTGAACAAAAAAATAAAAAAAAAAAGAGCTGAAAATAAACAAAAAAAAAAACTCCCAAAAAATTTTCCAAACTTCCCTCGTATGGGGAATAACAGTGTTCTACTCACCATAATTCCCACAAAAAAGTGGGATTTGGTTTTTGGTTTCAGTGCAAAAAAAATAAAACTTTCAACAAATTTTCTTTAATCATCTGAACACCATAAATACACAAAAGCTAGCTAAACTAACCTTTGCATTTAAATTAGAGTACAGGGAATCTGCAGAGTCAGGTCTACGTATTACATATGGCTCCTCAGCGTTCCTTCCGAGAGCTGAATGTAATGAATTATACCACGAAAAATATCTTACGTGTTAAGTTAGCATATATATTTGTCTCAATGCGAGACAATTTCTCAGGCCGAGACTAGAAACTGCTCTGCAATCCCAAACTCATAAAATCTTCTTCACATCTTTTACTTCCACTGTAGTTTCTGAAGACAAATGAATGCAGTACTGTTTCTGTCCTTAAAATTTAAACCACCCACATACCAAGAACCGATTATTACACTCACACTCTTATTATTAGCAGTATCATGACAGTCGCTCCGGGATCAAAATGACATAAGACTTCGCAAGCAGCCCGCTAGTTCGTTAATAGTATTAGTCATCTACCAGCACAGACTAAATAATCACCAGTCACCTCCCCAACCTCCCACCGAGTTTTTTTGTCAGACCGGAATTTAATCCACGGCCCTAATGACATCTGTTACCCAAGACATACCTTGGCACCTTCAACAGAATGGGAGAGGGGATAGATGTGGCTTCTCACTATGCTGTAAAATCAGTTTAAAAATACCGAAAATATACGTGAGTTAAAAGCGTAAAACACCCTAAAAAGGCACTTGAAAATAAAAAAAAAGAACTACCTCGATGACACTGAACTAAAAAAGTGTCCAGATTGAAGCGCGTCAAGAAAAATACGAAAAATTTTCAGTGCAGCATTAAAACCTTGAAATTGAGAAAAAATTCTTAAGCCTGGCCGTATCCAGCTAATTTTAATGTAAGGTTTTTGAGAAGAGAGGAAAGGGAATCAGTTGGTTCCTCCGCCTTAACACACCACTTAGCTAAAGTCTTGGTGCCGTTTGAAACCTCCTGATCTAGACAAATCATTTAAAAAATCCTAAAATCTCGCAACTTTTGGCACGGCGAGCACACATATTTATCACCGATATTTATGAAAAGCTGAGGGTCCTTCAGTCATTAATCGCAAATTAAAAATTACGACTATTGCTTTAAAAAATTAGCAATAAATTTAAGTTATTCAAGACGAGATATACTAGCAGGAAGGTGACTAATGGCGCATATTTTCTTCTAGACGCTCGGTTTTGTCAATCACTCTGAAAAACAGCTCAGTTTTTAATTAGACGAGGTAGTCAATATACAAAAAAATATAGCAGCATAGCTCTAAAAGAGAGCTTGTTCTCTTCGTGCCTAAGCTGGAAAACCCACTTTACCCTTACTTGCTCAAACGGCTGAGCAGAGTTTCTCCAGTTCAGTTTTTCCACACTTTATTTACCTAGAAATATTACGACCTAACCCACAAAACGAAAATGCTGTGCATGTTTCTGGAAAAGAAGCATAACTTGGCCAATGGTTAAGTCGTCAATACATTGGAATCGATAACCAGAACTAAATAAGCTCAAGAATGTCACTTTGTTTTTATATTATTTCATAGGATAAGATTGCATGCTAAGAACATTTAAACACAATTTCCATGTCTTTTGCTGCTCACAACATATAAGGTTAAAGCAAATCTCAATTAGCTGATTGCTATCAAAAAAGATCACATAATTTGTCCCCTCCCATTTTATAGCCCTATCCGTCCCTTCTAAAGTATAATAGATTTCCCTGTTCACAATATACATACTGAACTTGATTCTTAGAATAATCTCATAACAGATTCCAAAATAAGCAGAGCCTGACATCAAAAATGCGTACGTTAGCACTGTATACTACATAGATTAAAAGTGTAACAAACCATTCAAAGAAAAAAAAAGAATGCAACTGCTTACTTACTAATGTAGAACGTAGTGAAACATTTACCCAAATGAAACTGACCTGGCCCTTTACAAAGAAAAAGGAAGAGAAACCGCCAGCGACTTTTCGTGAACTGATTCTTTTAAGACCTTCACCAAATTGAAGGAAAATGCTCGATTTCAAATATCTCTAGTTATTTCACAAGACTTCTCAAAATTGAGTTTTTAATTAAATAAAAGCCTAGCATCCTACCTAATATGCCTTCATAAACTTCTTTAAGCTCTCTTAACAATATCCATGTCGCAAAAAGTCATTTCTGTGGTCATCTAAGGTTATGTCCATTCTATTATCGGAAAACTCCGCCGTTATGTTTTTTTTCTTCATATCTCTTAAATCACTCACACCAGTTAACTGAGAAAATACACTGCACCTCTGATACGAGGCTCTCCTCTGTAGATACCACGGTAATAGTAAACTGTATCATTCTAATAATAGCAAAACTAACAAAAAATTAATTACCTTTTCTCATCTGTGTTCTTCCATTTCCTCATGTAACCTCGTAAGATGCGATAAAGCGCAGGATCTTGCCTTTCAATGTCTTTACGTAGGTCCTAGAAAAAGTAATTTTTAAAAAAACCGTTAAAAAATAGATCCATAGGCCGTCATCTATTCCCTCAAAAAGAAAAAAAGAAAAAAAAAAAGTTAAAACAAAACACTTGAAGTTCAATTTTAATTAAAGAAGCCTACATGCAAAGCAGATAACTTTGAGGCTAAGTTTCACTCTTCTTCATTCAAAGTCACAATTCCCTTAATTCTGTTCCAACTCCATTCTAAGGTCACTCTAACGCGCAAAGACTCCGTCAGAAACATTTCAATTTTTAGCAGCAAAATACACTCATTCAAAAGCAGCATACCTGCCAGCAAGCAAAAATGCATTAAACACGCAGAGAGAACCTGGCCAATTTTTTTAAAATATCAAGACCAAAAAACAAACCTTCTTCTTCATGATCTGCACTATACAATAACGAATAGTTTCTGCCTCTGTTGCTTGAAAAGAAGAAACGCAATTGATGTTATTGACGCATTTGTCTTCTACTTGTAACTGAAAAATAAACTAAATAAAACAACCGCAAAAGTTAAGTGAAAAAGATAAATTGTTGCAAAATTATTATAACCACAAAAACCACATTCACAACTAGAAGCATATTTACAGTTTTAGAACTTCAGGGAGCAAGATCAAACACGTAACATTTAAGAAACAAACGTCAAGAGGCTTCAATCGTCCAGCAACATCAAACGGATCTCTGACATCACTTAATTCGCAAACTTCATCACCTTTATAATTCTTCACCTGAACGCTTGAACTTTAAATCACGCATGTATACGTCAAAAAAAAAAGCTAAGAAATTGTATGTTGAAAGGAAAAAAGGAGACGCAACGATGTAAGCATTAGTTAAAGAGAGAACAAACTTTGTGAATTACACTTCCTTCCGCAATACCCCAACTTATGTCAGGATGGCCGTCGAGTGGGAATACCCAACACTAAAAATTGATTATGAGTCAAAGGAAAAAGAAACCTTAGTTTTAAAAAAACACAACCTTGAGAAACACAGGACTATCAACCACAGTAAGTCGGTTAAAGACATCTAAAACAAAACCGAAAAGATGAGAATATCCCAAAAATGAAGATCCAAGATTCCCTGCTCTTATTCCGCAATGTAAAACAACCGTCTCCACCTAAATTCAAAACAGTCAGAGAACTGTATATCTGCTATACTAACTGATACCATTAATACAAAATGTTGCAACCAACTTTTAGAAAATAATCAGTGCACCGCTGACGAACTGGTGCAGGTAAAATCTCAGCCCGTAAGAGTTCTAATTTGTCTGGATACCCGCACGCATCAAACCTGATCCACGTTCCTACACTAGGAGTGGCCTCTGTGATAACCCTTAACTTCCTAGCAATTTATTTATGAATTTCACGACAATTGAAATGCTTCTACGAAAAAAAAAGAGAAAGAGAAAGAGGAAAACTAACTCAAAGCGACTACGTAGAAAAGACAATTTTGCACCGTAACTGAAAACGGAACACCAAACTTCTATGGACGTTCTACTAACCTGTCTCACGACGCCACGGCAGTTACTACACTATAAGGACATCTACCATTAAAGCATAACATCGCAAACAGACGATTCAAAATCTCCAATAAGAACAAAAAGAAAAAAATTGGCTCAAAGCTCACTACTCTAACAACCCTATCACAGTACTTCTGGGGGAAGCCAGAAAGCTAAAAAGAGGACCACATCACCAATCATATCAAAAAATTTTTTGGTCAAAATGCCGAAAACTGGAACGAAAAGAATTAACAGTTGTTGAAGAAATTAAGGTAAAACTTGAATCAACATTTTAGAAGCTGTTCGCAAAAACAGTTAAGCATTTGAAAACGAAAAATGTAAAACATTATAATTCAAAAAACCTTGAGATTAGTTCTAACTAATACCAAAAATTGCAAACACTAAGTATCAAGAGGTTTTCAGCAGTTAGCGAAAAAAAAAATAAAAGCCTGAAAAAGTTCCTAAGGAAAGATCTCGTGCATACAACATTAGCCTCAGAAATAACTCTCGGCAACAACCAGAAATAAAGGTTTTTATCGGCTGAATAAAGCAAACCTGCAGGGTATTTCCCTTAAACAAAACTTCAGCACCCTCGTTTCTCTTAACCGGTGGTAAAACTTCACGAATAATACTCGAAAACTGCTGGAACAGTGAGATCATTTGCCACAAAGTAAAACAATGACTACGACACTGTCATTACGGCAAATGCAGAAACCGATGTTGGAGATGTATTAAAACGCCGATGCATACAGAAGAAATAAAGGATACAACAAAAAATCTTTTTAAACTTTAGATTTCCTGACTGCATGCTTGACTACCTTTAGTCAATTGTAAGATCACTCTAAAAATCGTCTCAACAACCTCTGCTGCTCTTTAGCACCAACCTCCAAAAAAAAATTAGTCGACAGACTTCTTTTCCAACAATGCTTAAAGAAACCGCACTTCCATAAATTACAACATTACAAAAGCACTTCAACAATTCTACTTACAATGGAATAGTCGATTTCTCTGCCACAAGAAAGATTATTTTGTGGATAATGCCTGCCACCAGAAGAGAACTGTAAAACAGCACCTGTTCAGAAAGCATAAAGTAAAACTAAAAACCTCCTTTTTCTTCCAGTGCAATTGAAAAATTAATTTTACCAACTGATAATAACATATTTTGAAAGCTCACTAAACTTGCCAAAGCCTCAAAACACAAAAGTGTACCTGCGATGTATCAGTTACACTCACTATTTCAGAAATAACCCATACTACTCGCTTGTGCTGGTGCTCCTCAGGCGAATTCAAACTAAATAATCATTAATTCATTCTCCAAAAAAGTAAGGCAATCCCACTGGATAACCAGAAATACAGTTTAGAAAAAAATGTGGAGAATAAGTCTTTACGAACCGATAATCCCATTAAAAAAGCTTTTAAATGCTCACATTCGCACTTTAACATCGTATACTTCATTATAGTCTAACAAAATTCCATTGCGGTCGTAAGCCACTAATCCAAAATCTACAGACTCCGCGGTAAGCGCATCTAGTTTAACGGCCTGAGTGAACACCTGTCTCAACAGTTACATATGTTTTGGAACAACCAGAATGGAGGTGAAACAGATTTTGATTGACCTAAGATACACTTATCCAATTCCTCAAAACATTCCCGGTAAAAAGCCGCAAATTTGTGTCTGTTTGTAAAACGAAAAAAAAAAGAGTCAAAAGCAGCAACGATTTGAATTTGCCAACAAAATAAGAAATATTTGTGTGTAAAGTTACCTCAAATGAGCCGTACACTGAATTCCACTGTGTTCGTAAAAGTGGCTTAATGAAGCAATTCACTGCGAATGTATCACATGAAGTATTGTGTGTTACCAGGACCCATTCACCAACACCAATACGACATATGACCCCAGTTCCCCCACGCTGAAATTCTCGGATTCCAAACTGTAGGGTCCAACCAAAAAGACCCATACGACTACACTCTATTATTATAGCTGGATAAATGCTAAAAAAACGTCTTAATTTCAAAGCTTCAAGATCCTATTCACCTTAAACGTAAAATGAACATTCTCTTCCACTAACTAAAAACGTAAAAAATTATGCATACACAAGTGTCAATAAAAAATTGTTTTGGAACACCAATTATGCAATTAAAATATGAACATACTTTGTGCCATATCGATTCGTCATGAAAACTGATCGATTAGAAGCGCTTCCATGTGAAAACTTTTGGACCTTCATTTCCTAAAGAAATCCAAGCCATTACCAGTTATCCCGAAAATTGCTTCAAATTAAGCTTAACTATCCTCAGCTGTTAAGTCACTCTACCAATAACAGATTGCAGCGTATAAAAGTATCCTGGGCAGTAACCACTGGAACGGAATTGCATAAACACTCCATTTGCAAAAAAACATCCAACTTTTTTCCAATCGGTCACTACACAATGACAAAAAAGCCTAAATTCCCGGCTAGCAGAGTCGCGCCAAACAAAGACCCTCTATCCAGAAAATCGGTCATGAACCGTCCCATTTAATGAACCTTCTTCCCCTCCCCCTCCTAATGAAAAACTGCCCCACCTCCTCACCTTACCGCTCGCTAATCGCAATTAGGACCAAACCCTGCATCTGCTCTCCTTCTACCAAAAAACCTGTCATCACTATCACTGAAATTAAACTTACATTCGCCGGCAAAAACCATGTGTCACCAGACGTCTTCTGTCCATTGAAAATGGCCCTTGTCGAACTGCAACCAACGTGAAAGGTTCTTAGATAAGAAGAAAGTTCTCTTGACATAACTTGGCTGTATAAACCAAGTCCATGCAGACGTCTATGTAGTCCAACAGTGATATTGTCACCTCCCTGGCCTTCTAGCTCACCTTGTACAGCGTTCACTTGCCGGTCAGCTTCAGACAACCGGAGAACACTTCAACCTATCTGATCAATCGTTTCCCTCCTACCTCAGCAACTTCTTAACCGCGTCGAGTTCAAACCGTTATTCCGTTCGTATACATACGTACAAGCAGACTCCGACCGATAAAGATACTCCGCAACAGCAAAAGAACTCGGACCTTGACTTCTTGACTTTGCAATTATTTACTCCTTAGATTAATTCAAATCAAAATTCCGACTATACCTATGAGGCAGTAATCAAATACATAAAACAGTAGAAAAACACGCAATAATGTAAGAAGAAAGAATAAATGCTAATTATGCTCACGTCCCTATTCACTTGCTTTTCTCGCTCCCTGTTTCTTAAATATATAACATTTCTCCACTACTTCCCCTGTCTCTTCTTCTGTCATTTCATGATCGTTTTTCTCAGCAACCCAACATTTAACCTGAGCTTTCTTTGCATATCCTTAAATTACCCCTTAGAACGACTGTGAATGCAAAAAAACAAAAAAAAAACTTAAGAGTTGTAAGTATCTAACACAGTTACTACAAAAATTGAGTAAACAGACATATAGGTCTTTTCTTCTCGAAACTAACTCTGAAGATTCCTCCAAAAGCAAATGCGTCTCTGCTGGGACAATTTCAACTGTTCAGACACGAAGCTTATTACAGACATAACTCCAGGGTGGTTTATGCGATCAGGATTCCATCCTAAAGAGATCGTATAGTCGTTAGAATAACGAACAAGTGAATTACACCATCCTGACTAACGGTAACTTGCTGTATTTTAAATTACATGTTAATTGTTCCATCTATTCTGTAACTCTTGTAAAAGCCAGTTGCAGCTCCGGTAAGTTTTGCGCCTATCCAGAATATTCATTTCAGAACTGGCCTGCGCTTCTTAGGAAATTCTAAGCGGGGCTACTCGAGAGCGTTCAGTAGCAGTGAAGGCCACCGGCTAATTTTTCGAGTTACTTAGGTTCCCTGTGCTTTTTTTCTAATGTTTCCAAAGAGTTCGTCTTTCATCTGAGACATTCTTTCTGGGACAACACCATGTTTATTAGTAAGCTCTAACGACCACTCGCCTGTGTTGGCTTAATTAGCGGCTCGTGAACCGACACCTTAAGTTTCGTGTACTTCTTCGTGGTAGTTTTTGTTCTAGCACGAGCGTGTAGGAAGGAGTTT